GCGTATGCATGCAAATTAATGATTATGCTCATGATTTGCAAAATACGCATGCAAATTAATGATTATGCTCATGATTTGCAAAATGCTAATGCATGCTTAACACCGAGGTGTTACACAGCACAATGTCGCTGACCCCTCCTACGTCCAACGAGTGGTACTTTGACTCAGGTGCTACTTCACATATGACATCTCAGGCCTCCTCTCTTTCACATGTTCTTCTCCCACGGTACCCTACTCCTTCATCCATTGTTGTCGGTAATGGCTCTCTTCTTCCTGTCACTGCCACTGGCTCTATAGAGTTGTCTCATAATTTACGTCTTAATAATGTCCTTGTGTCGCCACAAATTATTAAGAATCTTATCTCTGTTCGCCAATTTACTACCGATAATAATTGTTCTGTTGAGTTTGACCTCGCTGGTTGTTCTGTGAAGGTTCTTCCATCTCGGACCAAGATCGTCAGGTGCAATAGCTCTGGGCCACTATACCCTCTGCGCCTACCCCTAGCACACTCCCTTGTCACCCAGGCTTCCTCCCCGCTGTGGCATCGGTGTCTTGGCCACCCCGGTCATGAGGCGTTGTCGAAGCTCACGTCTAGTGTCTCCTGTCATATTCAGGATTGCTCAGAGTTATGTCATGCTTGTCAGTTAGGGCGTTATGTTCGTTTGCCCTTTCATGAGTCCACCTCCCGTGCGTCTACCAAGTTTGATCTTATACATTGTGATTTATGGACCTCTCCAGTTGTCAACATTTCTGGTTATAAATACTACTTGGTCATACTTGATGATTGCACTCATTATTTGTGGACGTTTGCTTTGCGGCTTAAATCTAACACTTTCAGCACGCTTGCTCACTTCATCGCTCACGCCTCCACCCAGTTTGGTGCCCGGGTCAAGGCTGTTCAGTGCGACAATGAGAAAGAGTTTGACAACTCTAGCTCCCGTCAGTTTTTCCTCACTCAGGGCATCCACCTTTGCATGTCCTGTCCCTACACATCGTCTCAAAATGGTAAAGCTGAACACATTATTCACTCCATCAATAATGTTGTTCGCTCACTGCTCTTTCAGGCATCCATGCCTCCGTCCTACTGGGTAGAGGCCCTCTGTACAGCCACTGTTCTGCTCAACATACTGCCTACCAAGACTCTATAGTTTTCCATGCCGCACCTTGCCCTGTTCGGCAAGCCACCAGCATATGATCACCTACAAGTCTTTGGTTGCAAATGTTACCCAAACATGTCGGCTACTGCACCCCACAAACTCGCCCCTAGGTTTGTCCTGTGTGTCTTCCTAGGCTATTCTGCTCATCACAAAGGGTACCGCTGCCTTGACCTCTCCTCCAATAGAGTCATCGTCTCCCGACACGTCATCTTCGATGAAACAACCTTTCCCTTTGCTGAGCGCCATGGTCCTAGTGCTCCAGCAGACCTACCGTTCCTCGATGACGACACTGCTGATCCTGTGCTCCCTCCTATTGGACCGATGCACAAGTTTTTGTCTATAGGAACACCACCCAGCACCGCTGATGTCTCCAGCGCCCCTGCCGGTCCCACCGCGACTGTGCCTGGGGCACCCCTGACTGCTGATGCTGCTGATGATCCACCGGCGCCCGCGCTCTACATTCCACCAGCGCTGCGGGCGTCGGGGACACCTACTGCGCCACCTACGGCCACCAGGACCAGCTCTCCCACGCCACGTGCGACCACATTGTTGCCCAACACGCTTGGAGAGGCCTCCCCGCTCTACATCCCGCCTACCCTGCGTGCAGGCTCAAGACCCCCGCCTGGGTTCCCACCTCTCCGATCGGATCGGGCCTTCACGTACCATTACACACGTTGACCCCGACCGCTGGCTCTGCCTGTACCAGCCGCCCCAACACCGCCTTGCTACCCAAGGGTGCCGTCGCTGTCATTCTAGTGATGAACCAGCACGCTATGAGCACGCGGTCGAAGAGCGGGTATCGGATGCCTGCCTCCTACCACGCCGCCCCCGTCTCTGCAGTGCCCAAGACCTTTCGTAGCGCTCTCACTGACCCCAATTGGTGAGCGGCTATGGAAGAAGAACACAGTGCTCTCTTGCAGAATCACACTTGGGACCTCATGCCTCGACCTCCTCGGGCAAACGTTGTCACTAGCAAGTGGATTTTCAAGCACAAGTTTCAGTCCGATGGCTCCCTTGAGCGGTACAAGGCACGATGGGTTCTTCGTGGCTTTACCCAGTGGCCTGGTGTTGACTTCGATGAGACGTTCAGTCCTATGGTGAAGCTCGCTACTATCCACACGATGCTCTCCTTGTCGCTCTCTCGCACCTGGCCCATCCACCAGCTAGATGTGAAGAACGCCTTCCTTCATGGCAATCTGTCTGAGGTTGTGTATTGCTAGCAGCCGTCCGGGTTCGAAGATCTAGCTCACCCGGACTTTGTCTGCCTTCTGAAGAAATCCCTTTATGGCCTAAAGCAGGCTCCTCGCGCATGGTACAGCCGAATGGCCTCGTTCCTGCTGTCTATTGGGTTTGTTGAAGCCAAGTCAGACACCTCACTTTTTATTTACCGGCGTGGATCAGATACAACCTACCTGTTGCTCTATGTGGATGACATTGTCCTCACAACTTCCTCACCCGATCTCCTTCGGTGGATTATCTCAGCGCTTCAGCAGGAGTTCTCCATGAAAGACTTTGGTGCATTGCATCACTTCCTTGGTATGCAGGTTCAGTGAAGTGGTGATGGCCTCCTCTCACAGCGACAGTATATGCTGGACATTCTGGAACGTGCATGAATGATAGAGTGCAAGCCGTGCTCCACTTCAGTTGACACCAATCCGAAGGTTGCTGCAGCTGATGGGGCCCCTGTGTCTGATGCTACAGACTTCCGCAGCCTTGCTGGAGCTCTCTAGTACTTGACGTTCACCCGCCCAGACATTACATATGCAGTTCAGCAGGTCTGCCTCCATATGCATGATCCTCGTGAGCCTCACCTTGCTGCCCTAAAGAGGATTCTTCGCTACATTTGAGGCACTCTTCACCTTGGTCTCCTGCTGCGACCGTGTACTTTGATGATCTTGTCGTCTACACCGACGCTGACTGGGCTGGTTGTCCGGACACTCGCAAGTCCACCTCAGGCTATGCGGTGTTCCTTGGCGACAACCTTGTTTCCTTCTCCTCGAAGCGCCAGAACACAGTGTCAAGATCCAGTGCTGAAGCCGAGTATCGCGCGGTGGCCAACGGAGTTGCAGAGGCTACTTGGCTCCGCCAGCTACTTCTGGAGCTGCATGCCCCTCTACGACGCGCCACACTGGTGTATTGTGACAACATAAGTGCCGTCTACATGACCTCCAACCCGGTTCAGCATCAGCGCACCAAGCACATTGAGATCGATCTTCACTTCGTCCGGGAGCGAGTCGCCGTTGGTGATTTTTGTGTTCTGCATGTTCCCACCTCTTCGCAATATGCAGATATCTTCACCAAAGGGCTGTCTACTTCAGTTTTCACGGAGTTTAGGTCCAGTCTAAACGTGCAGAGTGGCTGACGATTCAACTGCGGGGGCGTGTTAGAATAGGCGCCCTAATGGGCTGGCCTTGGGCCTGGCACCTAGCCTGTTAGGCTGGCTGCCTTAGAGGTTAAGATAGATAAATTACATTGATAATGCAAGGATCATCGTTGATTGGGTGTTTCTATAAACCCTATTGATCTTTGCCTATATATGCCTATATATTACGCGTGTTCGGCTGTTCACTTCTCCGCTTGTTTCAGCTTGTTTCAGCTTATTCTCTCTCCCAGAACAATATTAAATCATCCAAAATAATCCAAAATCCACTGTGCAAGTAAACAGCCGAGCGAGCTGATTGTACCCTGTACTGCTGCTAATCTATCAATCAATTCCCGAGACCTGTTCGTTGTCAAATTCATGCAATCAAACATTGCTGGGAGTCTCATGATTGTAATACCTGTACATGATTCCCATGATTGTAATCAAACATTGTTGCAGCAATATAAATGTTGTGGTGGCATGTTTGTGTTGCTGCTTTCCTATCTGCATGTTCGGAGTGATGGAAGTTTATGACATTTTATTCGCATATTGCCAAGGATTTTTTTACATTATTATATATTTTAACAAGACAATTGCGATGGCTACCGAAAAGGGATGAAAGTTGGATTCTTCCGTAGCTGCGACCTACAGTACGGACCCCTTCTCTTTTTTGAAACTCAGTACGGAACCCTTCTTTGTGGCCAGATATCACGCCATGATGGGTTCCTCTTTCTCCAATCCATCAGCGGATCGCCGGATTAGCGCGCTGGAGTACTCCTCGTACCTCACGGGCTCGTACAGCAGAGGCTGGTCACCGTCGACGACGAGCTCGTCCATCGCGCGCACCGTGGCGTTGTCCCTGGACCGGCAACCGAACAGTACCGAGAAGCGCTCGCGGCTGCTCGGCGTCCTGACGCGGTGGAGGCGCGCCGGCACCCGCCCGTTCGTGACGACCTGCGCGACGTACGCGACATATCAATCGGGAGATCCTGACGGCTCGGAGAAGATAAGTGTGGATTGATCCGTACGGTACCCTGAACTGCTCGCCGGCAACGAAGGTGACCGTGTCCGGCTCGGGAGGGACGGCGGTCCAGCCCCCGTCCTTGGCCTGCAGCTCGAGGCCTTCCACCTCGTGCTGCAAGATCCCCGTGACCATGGTGCCGTCGCGGTGCTCTTTCATGGACACGCCGGTCTCCTTGTCCAGAGGTGCGCCGTAGCGCGACAGCCGCACGCCGTGGGTGAGCGACTCCAGGTGGTCGCCGACGCTCTTCTCGTCCCGGACCCCGAGGCCCTCCAGCGTCATCTTCTCCACCATCCGCTCCAGCTTCAGCATGTCTTGGCAAACGAGACGATCGTGTCACTGGACGGCGGGCCCGGCGGATCGATACCATGTGAAATTGCCGTGACAGAAACAACGAGATGCGTTTGAGAACGCTGCAAGATGATGGATGGCATGGAAATGGGCAGGAATCGTGGGTGGTTTACCAGAATTCCTGGTTGCCCTGCTGCGGCCAGAGAAGGCGGGCGAAGTCGCGGACGCTGCCGGCGTCGGCGGCATCCGCGACGCGGATGCTCTCCATGGCCATGCCGGGGACCCCACTGATGTAGCCGTTGAACGGCCCCCAGCGGGAGTCGTTCCGCTGCTTGGCCTCCAGCGGGAGCGCGAACACCTCCGGCATGGCGCGGCAGAACAGAGCCCGCCGGAGCTCCGGGCCGAGCGCGTCGTGCGCCACCATGGACGCGGTCACCGCCGTCCGGGCTTCCTCCCACCCCGGGCTGCCGGGCTCCAGCCCGCGGAGGTCGATCTTGGGGATCTCCATGGACCGCAGCTTCGCTGAATCCGCTTTGGTTTTATGTTGCATCTGGCTTCGCGCTATGAGTTATCAGAAGTCAAACAATGAAACAAGTATGAGCACGTGACGTTTTATCCTGCCACCAACTAGATATGCTTGTCACTGTTTTATTTTTGATTAGGTAGCGTCCCCGTTACTGTGGATAACTAACAATTTATAACAAAAACACACGGACCGCACGATAAAATAACAATACTGTTAAATTAAATACCAACGTTAAAGTGACATTTAATTCAAAAAGCAAAGTTTATGAATTTAACACAGTCACGGAGTGTGCGACGTCGCAGGCTCACAAACTCTAGAGCTTCTAGAGATTGGGTCGAATCTAATCAAGAGCCTCGGAACCCTGCATCTTTTCCTGGACGGGCTTCACTTCGGATGCGCCGGTAGCAATATCAACGATCTTTAGTTGATGGACCAAGTCGTATGGATCCCCATACAATGGCTCAGACATGTAGATTTTGTTCTCCTTATACTTGGATACACTTGTTCCACTGAAGCTTTCATTGAAATGTTGAGACACGAACAATGTCTGATCACCGATGTCCCTCACCTTGGACCACTCCGGCGTACGGTCGTGGAGGTTGCACTTGTAGATCGCGCTGCTGTAGGTGAAGCTCTGTGTCTCGTGGAACGTGCTCACCATGGCACCCACAATGTGTAGCTCACCGTTTGATTCCAGGTAGTTGCGGTGGTAAAGCCCCGCAGGTGGCGACAGCGATGGTAGCAGCGTCGCGGTTGGAGTAACGCCGGCGGCGTTGCTGCTGCAGACGAAGATTTCTCCAGTGCAGTCGATCGCCAAGAACTTGTCTTGGCAGTGGACGATGGACCCCACGGAGAACTCTAGTTTGGTGTCGAGCAGCGTCCATGCACTGTCGACTCCAACCCGGCAGAACGCGACCTCCGTGGAGCACCCAAGCATGGCCATGGCCACGCACTCGCGGCCGGCGGCGTCAGGCGGCGCCGAGAGCACGATCTCACGGAAGAACACGTCCCTCATGTCTTCTAGCTTGATGGCTCTGCATGCGGCATCCGCGTCTCCGTAGCCGTTGGTGGGATGGAGGACCCACCGGCCGTGGACCCTAGACACACATTCCGATGAGGACGCCACCGCGACATGTTCGCTTGCTGGCGGGAACTCAACGCGGGGAGCTCAACGCAGGGGGCACGTGTTCGCCATATGGGTTCTTTGTTGGAGACAATCTAATAAGCATCAAAACAAAAAGGCGTAGCCCTTAATTTAGTTAAATAAATAAATAACAATATATTTTGTCACATTTATTATAATCTCACATTAGTTTGTAAGTGAGAGTTTTCTTATTTATCAAAACATAAAAATATATTTTTCATGTTACCTCTTAATCCCGTTTCAAATTGTAAGTCATTTTGGCTTTTGTAGATATATAGTTTTTGATATGCACCTAGATATAAATTATGTTTAGATATATAGTAAAAAATATGAATCTAAAGAAGTCAAAACATCTTATAATTTGAAACACAGAGTATAAGATAATACTATATATGAATATAGTTATCTATATCTAACCTAAATGGATGGCTCATTTTGACAACAAAAAAAGTCAGAGGAGCTTAAATTTGTATGAGTGGTTGAGATATGCTTGTATCGGAAGTTCTAACCTGCGAGGCTCCGTGGTCTTGGAAGTTAGGTGTTGAAACTTCCGATGTGGGAGTTGGGCGTTGGAACTACCAACGTTTGTTAGAACTTCCTACCTTGTCCGAATTTAGTTGTTTTCAGATCTAATCTGAACTCCTCTGATCTTGTGGAAAACTTAAAATTGCGTCTTGGAAAGGTTTTCTACTAGGATAAGACCACCCGCTCTCTATATATATTGGAGGATCATGGCTGATTGAGGTATCCAATATACAATCGATCTTTTATCAATTTATCTTTACTTTTACCTCCAAACCCTATCTCTTCCATGTGTAGGTGAAACTTTTTCATTTGAAATCTTTAGGGACAATATTCAGTATAAGATTACAAAATGTTGATACAAAAGATACCTATTCTATACAATGAATAATGTGTTCGTGATCCATTGTTGTATGTGTTGAAGGTCTTGGCTTGAACAGAGGTGAGCATGGCGGGCATCTAAACATGTCCGCCTTTGTTAATCGATTTGACTGTGACCATTTGGCGGGGACGGCCATATTGCCCGCCTCTGAAAATTGATTTTGACAGCCTCTGAAGTGACCATTTGCTAGAAGCGGTTGCACTACTGGCCTACAAAAATGGATTTTGACCACCTCTGGAAGTCCTTTTTATAGTAGTGTTGCACATGCACCGACATCATTTTCATGTGGTGCGAAGCCCCTGCACAATGCCTCGCCTGCGCCCGACAGCTTCCTAATGCCGACATTATTGCGTTTGTGTCCTGCATAGATGAGAAAAAGGGACAATCCCATCTTCCTCTTTTTATGGATGGATGGGGGCATCCAGTATCTCTCATGTGTACCTCAATCAAACATCTTCAAATATAGAATCGAGCTATCCCATCTTCTTTCGTTGCTCAAACCAAATATGTCCCCAACAAAACATTTTTCAAAGGGGAATCGAGCTATATCATCTCCCAACCAAACACATGGTACACACATATATTTACCAATAACATATACATGTACACCATTTTAACTTGCGTAACTTTCTTTTGAGTACATACTAGGGTGCTCACTCTATGTAGTACTCCATTCATTTTAGATAAAGGGAGTCACTCCATTTTATTTCACTACTAGAAATACCCCCCCTCCCTTAGTGACGCTTAATTTATATATTAGACAGTTTTTATTTCGTCTCTATAAGATTGTAGACATGTTTTTATAAAACGTGTTAGAAGCATCTTCGCATGGACCATGTCAGGACTTGTAGAGATGGGTTCTCTAAGCGTGTCAAGGTATAAAATAGATGTTTTGTAGAGACGTTAGTTGCATGCCTATGAATATTGATACACTTTTATAGATACATTTATATAACTTGTCTACTTGTGTAGCTACGTTATATAGCAACACTTTATTATGTGCTAAGAAATGTAGAGACGTTCTCATAAATACATTTATATTATGTGTGTACTAATGTAGTGACGTTGTGTAACGATGTTGTATTGTGTGTTAAAAAGTGTAGAGATGTTCTCATAGATACATTTATATAATGTGTGTACGAATATAGTAACGTTTTATAATGACGTCGTATTGTGTATTAAAATATAGAGATGTTTGAGTAGATACATTTATATTACGTATCTAACAATATAGATACATTTGGGTTTCAAGAAAATATAGAGACAATTTTATACACATTTATATTTCATGTCTACTGCTATAGAAACGTTATATAGTAACATTTTATAACGTCATATAGAAATATAGATATTTATGCATCTATATAATGTGCCTATTAATATAGACATATTTATAGTAACACATTCTTAGTCACGAAATAAAGAGACTTTTACAAATTTGTACACAAATGAATTTTAGATAATGAGAAAGTGAATCATGAAGGCATTGCTTGAAAAATCCATTGTCTTTACAAAACAAGATGATGATTAATAGTTCATTAGAGCGCACTCTCGAAGACAAACAATATTCATAAAGAAGCATAGGAAAGGTGGCAATTATCATACAAATATCTATATTTCTCGCTAACATCTAAAGTCTATCTTGATCACTCCGAAACTTGTAGTTTGTCTTTCCATCCACATCAAGTTACATGTTCCCATCATGCTGCAAAATAAGAGGAGATTGAGTTGACAGACATGAATTCTAATCAAACGAATATAGCAAGGAACGTCACATAATCGTAACAACAATTTCAAATCCAATGTTAATTATTAGGATCAAAGAAATATACCATTACTAACTTCACTTTGTTGGTGTTGTATCTCCCATTCTTTTTATTATGACCAGCGTCCCATAATTCTATCCTATGAACCTTTCCTTTCCTTCGATCTTCCTGCACAAGATATTAAATTCGAGGATCCCAACACCTCTCTGACATGATCATTGAATTTGGCAGATAATAACATAGTTAGAATATATATCACCATCTCTTTCTTCAGTCTAGCATGGCTTTTCCTTCCTGTTGTGTGTGTATTCTTTTATTCTTTTGCACACCGAGAGTTTGTTGCACACAATTTCTGTAAATATAGCAAAGTGAGAAAGCACAAATGTTACGTAACTTTTCAAATTTCCTGTAAATGTTAGATAAAAAAGATATCACCTTATGTGTTTTCTTGACACCAAAAGCTAACAAGAGATCTCCACTGATGTTAATTAATAGTTCATGGTCTATCTCGTATAATTTGATCTAGAGATCTCTGTTCTTGGTCTCCCTTGCCATGATTTAAACTGCAAAGGAAAATTAGCAGTTCGTTATAAATTAAAGAGTAAGCTGTCAGGATCAGCAGCAGACTACAGAGTAATTAATGTGTTGGATTTCAGAAAATGCATTATATAAAAATTCTCAGTCTTAGCCTTGATCGAAGTTGACCTCAAGGCAGACAAATTCTGCTGGTATTCATACCTATTTTTTTTTTGTATTTGTAAAATTCTGAAATTTTTTGTGACAAAATTCTCAATCTTAGCCTTGATCGAAGTTGACGTCAAGGCAGACCAAATTCTGCCGGTATTCATACCAGAACAGCAGAATCGGAACGAGGGAGTCAGGAGGGCCGGACGGCTGGGATGGCCGGACAGGGCCTGGAGTCGCCGTTGCCCGTCGGAGCCTTGGAGCTCGGTCGCTCGGAGCTGGAGGGGCCCAGGGGGCTTCCTCGCTGCTCGCCGTCGACCTCTCCAAGCCCCACACGCGTGCTTGTGCAGTTGTGCAGAGCCGCAGAGGGCGGCCGGCGCGGTGGTGGGATGGGGCTGGCAGCGCGGCGACCTTGGCGGTGGCACCCGCTCCTCCCGTGTGGTGCCGCAGGGTATGCCAGGTGGGCAATGGCATACCCTGTGAG